AAAAAATTTCTGTTTCCATCCTCATATTCAGTTTGTCCATCTCTCCCTTGCAATCTTTTGAAATCTTCATCATGATCATCATCGGATTCACTGAAGTAATAATCACCACATTAGACTGTGCTTGGCAATAAAATAAATTTTGATGTTCCAGCGCACTTCTCATTTAAAAATCTTACTAAACAGTTTAAATGAAAATTTGTCACATGTATGGCTTAGAGCAAATCTAATTTCTGCTACTATTTATCATGTCATCATCATTTAATCTTTCTTTTTCCATTACAAGATTTGTTGTATCACGTCTCTTTCTTTTGTCTTCTCCAACTTCTCATTATCCTCGAGACTTGCTGGAACTTGCAGCTGGTCCATCTAATTGGTTCTTAGCATGCATTCTTGTATTCTAACACTTGATATTCTTTTCACTTGACCCCAGGTTGAATTTTCACCATATAAACTAACTCCTCTTTAACTTTTGATTTATTAACATTTCTGTCTACAGTCAAATAAGGGCTCTTTTCGCTGCCTGGGTCCTTAAAGGTAAGGCTCGCCTGCTACTGGGTATACTATGCATTAGGGCTTCATCTTACTCGGGAAGCTAGGGGAGTGCTTTGCTTTTAACTAACATCACTCTGCTGTAAGCAGAAAATATTCTAATATTCTTTGTCGACCTCTTGCTCTATTAAACGAATTGCAAATTGAGATTGGAAACTGTAAAATTTAAGAGAGATTCATCTCAACGGGCCTATGTTAATACGATGGAAACTTCACTTTTTCTTGATAGATTCCAAATGTTTTGTTCATATGTTTGACATTTTACATTGATTACACTGGGTCATGCAGGAAAACCTTTATCTATCCTTGATGGCATATTTGTCGCGATAAAAGATGATATAGATTGCTATCCTTTCCCATCAAAGAGTAATGAATGCTGCACTTAACCTTGATTTCCTGAGGAAAATATGGGTAATATTTAGCTTCAAGTTCTCAGTTGGATGGCTCTGCTGCAGGTGGAACATCATGGTTGCATAATACAAGGGAGGTGAAAAAGGATGCAGTATGTGTTTCCAGATTGCGTAGTTGTGGTGTCATTATAATAGGAAAGGCAAATATGCATGAGTTGGGTATGGGAACGACAGGGAATAATCCAATCCACGGGTAAGGTGGACTTAGTTACTTTTTTATCTAAGGAAGTGTTATTGAGAAAAGTGTTAAAATGGTCCTCTGACTTTTTATCAGTGGTCATTTTAGTCACATAGCATAGAAATGTGTCAATTTAGTCTCAGATTATTTTAATGAGGGCTTTGGGGACTATTTCAGCCCATGTTAAAAGAGTATGGGGACTAATTTTGCACTTTTATAGATTTTGAGACTAAAATGATCCCATTTAAGTAGTTAGGGGGCTATTTTGGCACTTTACTTTATTATTATTTTGTACTTAAT